GACTGGCGTCATTCAGGAGCTGGATGGCTTGGGACATGTGCAGCCAAGACTCTGTATGGAGTGATATAGAGGTGAGCTGGGGCTGGGCATTGCAGGACGGGAGCTTTCCTCAGATGCAATGATTCCTGGAGGGGGATGGGCTAGGGTAAAGGAGGGGACTTCAGAAAGCGCGGCGGGAGCTTTTGCACCAGGGAATCTCGATCTTATCTTAACTCCAGTAAGTTTGCTATTTTAAGGTGGCTCGGAGATGCCTTGAGCAAATCAAAGCTTAGCTGCTGTCATCAGTATCTGTAGCAGTTAGAAACTCTTTCCATGTGCCTTTGGCTCTGTTTCTACTCATATGCAATATTTATGCTCTAAGATATTGATATGAATCAGGAGCTGAAGTCTTTCCAGTGTTCAGTGGCCTGCTTGGGAAAATGCCATTTCTATTTATAAGAAAATGAAGATAAACATTATAATGGATGTGTTCAGAGAGAGTCCGTTTTGGACTCTTGTCGAGATTTTTGTTTTCTGCCCTCCTTTCTCTGTTCATTAAACAGAGAACTTACAAGATCCCAAATAATCCTGCTGGGTTGAGCTAGACTGCTTTTCCCACAGAACACAAAACGACGGTGCTGTTTCCTTTAAAACACTTGTGTGTGGTTGAAAGGGTTGTCTAGCGAGTTAAAAAAAAATCCCAGCCTTAAGAGAGCAAGGCTGTTTGCTTCACTGGCGAGAAACCGAATGGTTAAATCTCTCTGTACCACGGAGAGCTGCCCAAAGCTAGGAGAGAATGAAGTTTATGCAGACCTTGTGTGTGGAGCTACTCAATGCTTGTGTAAAAATAGACCGCAATACATCAGTTCCACAGTCTCTACTGGCTACAATTCATACAGTGGAGGCAAAAACACAAGCAGTTTCCTCACAGTCTCCTGAGTCTAGCTGGGGACAGAGGACCTCGGCGTGTTTGCATTCAGTACAATGGAATGTTCTCGGAAAGTTTGGGCAAGTTGGAAAACAAGTGAAACTTTTGTGGACTCTGGTGAGATGGACCCGAATTGAATTGCGCGGAGAATCGGAGCTGCTAACTAACAATGGTGCTTCCTCCCGGTAGTGGGGGCACGTAGGGTAAGGGGGAGGGTCAAGTGCCACACGTGATTTGATTAAATAAGATGTCCGTGTGGTGCAGCGATACACATCTAAAGTGAAAATGATTTGGCCAGGCCGCCCGCGAATGCATTTTTCCTATTTAGCCAGGCGTGTCCTGGGTCCTTAACTCTTTGCTGGGTTTGCAGATGTTGGCTCCGTTTGCCTTTCCCTGGCTTTGGCAGATCGGATTTACGGGTTCTAATTATTCTGGTCTTGTTGTGATTTCTTGGTAAGGTGGAATAGATACGGATAACTCATGTGTCTGTGTCTATTGGGAGTCCGAATTCTAAGTGACTCCAGAGTCCTAATTGTTGGAGTAGCCAGAGTATCCCGTGGGTGGTTGTCTGGCTGGCACCGTAGGTCTCTTCGATCCACTTTCATTTTTGCGGCTTGTATGTTTCTGATGCCGCTCAGAGAATGAAGACCTGATCTAAAGGAAATGGAGATTTACCTCCACCGTCAGAATTCCTGCAGTTGTTTGCAAAGAAGCTTCCCAGACATTTACAACTATCACTTTAAGTTTGTTTGTTTTTCTTAAGGAGGAGGGGATTGGGGCTCAGTGTCTAGCCTTAGAGTGAGGCTTGGGTCAGCTATGACTGGCCAGTCACTGCTGCATAGTAGACAGCCAGCTGTTACAAACCTGTGCCTCCGTGGCTGTGGCTCTGGGAATCACCCTTGCCTGTCGAAATATTACAAGCTGCAGGTAGCGTGGGCAGCTTTCATTTTTTGAATCATTAATGTTTGCTGTCATCTTAAAACCTATTATGCCCTTTCTCACATAACGACAGGACAGTGCATTGGTTAATAAAAGTCCAATCACCAGAGCTACCCAGAGTCCCTGTGTTTCACAGCTTAATGGAGGTGATGTACAATAAGGTTACTAAGATTGATAGAGACAGTTCACATGACACACTTCACCGAGACTGTCATTCTCTATGGCCTCTCTTCTTCCCTCCTCCTACCTCAACTAATGTTTTTATCAGAAGATAAGACTCTTTTTTTATTAATATAATTAATACTGCAGAGTCCACTTTCTTCTCTCTCTCTTTAAAATTTGCCATCAACGGCACCAAAACCTGTAAAAGGTTAATGGAGAATTATACTTAATTATAATGAATCATTATCATCGATGCAGTTAAGCTAATTTATTGTCTGCTCCTTAACTAAGGGAAAAGTCTGTTGGGGTGAAATAACGTACAATAATTAGCCTTTTGTGTTTAGTGACTGCTCCAGCCTCTTAAATCTTATTGTAAAACTAAGGCTACAGTTGTGAAGTTGCTGTCACAGTTGCAAAGTGGCAGGAGAATATCTGTGTAATTTCACAAGGCACACCTGTTACAGGTGTGTAGGGGAGCCATCAATAGCAGCATGTCAGACAAGGACAGCTACTGGGCTGAGCCAGCTAAGTCTGCCATTGTCTGAGTTCAAATAGGAATTAACAACAGGAGCAAGTGCTTCTACACATGTGTTTTAGCTTAGTGGGACAATGCCATACTTGGAGGCATCGATTTGATCAGGATGGCAAAGCACAAAGACGATTTTGAGCCATAATATAAGAATAGCCATGAACAGTGTGAGAGAGAAATACAGGGAAAAGGGGAGAGAAAAAGAGGAGAAACCCAAAGAAAGGGAATACTAAAAAAACAAATTGAACTCATCTGTTCAATAGTTGTCAAAAGCAATATTCATGTGTATATATATGTATATATGTGTGTGTGTGTGTGTGTGTGTGTGTGTGTGTGTGTGTATTCTTGAATGTTGAAGAGTCTTTAAACTAGTCTTGCTTAGAGAAGGTGGTTAAAAAGAGATGGCAAAAAGCTCTCTCCCAGCAAGTCATTGTGACAATTTACCATTCCAAAACAAGCCTTCTGTGCTCTGGGACAGGAGTTTCAGCCAGAGGTAGCTTAGGCTATCCTCTGCCTCAGTTTTCATTTGGACTTTGACTTTGATGCTTCAGTTTTTAAAGGAATCCTTCACCATGACATCCATGGTTTTCTGCACTGTCAACAAAGTTGTTCCCTTGTCTCTGCACTGATGGTGTTGAGGAAGAGTTAAGAAAAAGGGGTTGTGCTCTGAGGATAAGTAGTGAAGATAAGAATGGAGCCTCGGAAGTGGTACTCCCATAGCAAAACACTAACAGTGTACCGGGATGAAACCTATGCTCTTTTAGCCCAGCTTCCATGTACAAACCTAGCCAGGTTTCCTGACCTGTAGATTTTGGCTGACACAAATAATATAAAGAAAAGCCCAACAAAATGAGAAAGAAGACCTTTTGGGGGCAGCTTTTTCATGGCATGGCCATGTGCCTGCCTTTGGGGATCTTCTGGCGGCCTGGTGGTCTTTTAGACAAACTGTAATGATATGCAGCCTCTGTTCCCCCCTCCGTACCTGCTGATTCTATTACCCAGTACTACTCACTCATCAGCGTGGGGCTTCGGATCACACTGCTGCCTCTGACCTGTGTAATACAGCCTGACAGCAATGACAGGGGTGCTCCAGAAATCACATCTGCACAACACTTACTTTATTCAAAATCTAAATGTCAAGGAAGTTCACCAGCCTTATGTCCCACTGCTGCCTGGATGGGAACCACTAAGTAGCTCTCTGTGACCTTGAAAAGTAGAGGCACGAGGGCCTTCTCTCTCTCTCTCTCTCTCTCTCTCTCTCTCTCTCTCTCTCTCTCTCTCTCTCTCTCTCTCTCTGAGTGTGAATGCTTAGATTCAGGCAGATGGCTGATGAGAGGACAAAACTGTAGTGGCTCTGCTGTCATTAGACCCTGATAGCAAGCATTTCTCTTTAGAGCACCCAGACCTAGCTCAACACTTAGTAGGCCAGTTAAATGTAGGAGACCATCTCATTGGTAAGAAGATTCAATTCCTCAGGTGGCAATAGGTCAGGGGAATGGAAAGACCATCAAAACCCTAGAAAAGGCTAAAAAATGCGAAATAGCCTTCCTGATAAGTATTTAAACCTTTTAATATATTAACACTATTTTATTTCTCTATGAAATATAATCATTTTTAAATTCACCACAGCTGTAATTTTGACATACCTCAGTAAAACCCAGAATATAACTATCATGGTACAGCACTTTGGTTTTTCACTTTTAGGTGACAGGTGATCACACACACACACACACACACACACACCTTGCAAAGTATTCCCAGTGAAAGCTATAAAGGTCACATAGAAAAGTAATATGAATTTTGTTCTTTAACTCAAGGAACTTGCATTTGACCTGTTAAAGATGGAGTCAGGGAACTCATAAAAAGCCAAGTGAGAGTAAATGATTTAAATAACAATTCAAGAGAGCTGTAGATGAGTCAGAGGACTTGCATCATTAGTTGCTAAATGAATTCTATGGATTATAATACTTAAAGGGAGTGGGCACAGAGGAAGTTTTCCTACTTTAATTCTTGAGTCATGTTATCTCAGTAAGCAGTTGTTCATAGGGATATCCATTATTTCTGATGGTGATTCCAAGGTACAAATCCACTTGCATACTTCTCCCAAACCAGTTCTATGATAAGGACAGAATAAAATCATGCGCATAGTTAACTACAAGAGAGTTTGGAACTCACTAATTTTAATTATCCTTGAGGTAGGAACAAATCGTGTTGCTTTCTAACTGGAAGACTCAAGGAGGCCTTCATGCAAACATGGTACTTAGTTTGGGTCTGGGTTTAGAATTTGGACAGGGGAAATTAGACAAAGTACCCCTAGAGAGCTAAGCAAATAAAGAATGGAAGGCGTTTCCCTTGGCGACTAAAGCCCGGAGGTCAGCTTTGGTGCTGTTATTGAATTAACCAGACGGTTTAGTGAATCCCTGCCATTCATAACCATTGCTTTCTCTTTGCTGCCTCCCACAGTGTGCTGCTCTGGTTGGTGAGGACCAGCCTCTTTGCCCAGATCTTCCCGAACTTGACCTTTCTGAACTTGATGTGAACGACTTGGACACAGACAGCTTTCTGGGTGGACTGAAGTGGTGCAGTGACCAATCAGAAATCATATCCAACCAGTACAACAATGAGCCTGCGAACATATTTGAGGTAAGCATCTCCTCTGGAGAGTTTAGCTTCTCATTGACCTTGGCCTTTGTCAAACCGATGTGGTGCCAGGCGTGAACATACATGTGCTCTTACATTGTTGCCAGCAGGAAAGTTGTCCTCACAGCTAGAGAGTCTCTATGGTGTGGACACACAATTTGTGGACAACAGTGCTTTTTAGGATCAAGGCACTAAGGACTTACAGCAGACTGTGTTAAACTGTGCTGAAATACTAGGGTTGTGGAAGATTTTGGAACAAGGAAGAATAAAAATGTGAAGCTGTTGACTCCCTTCTGTTCCCACAGAGAGGGGCGCCACAGCAAATGGTGCCTAATATGAATTAATACAGAAGAAGACATTTCTTTTTCACTAAGGGGTTAATGTCAATCGCCGTTTGTTTTACCTTGTAGGTGAACACTTTTGATTATTGCTATTATATTATTGCTTCATACCCCTAATTTTCTCGCATGATGGAAAATTTCTAAACTCAAAAAAAATCTAGTATATACTTATAAATTAGTCAAAATTCATTTACCTTTCAGTGGTAAGAATTACCTCCCAGACTCTAGAGGTCTATTATGAGCCTACCCTATAATAAAGAATGCTAATCTACTCCTATTAAAGTGTTACTCAGAGAAACGAGGTTCACTCTCATAAGATCAGGACTCATTTACTTGAAAATAAATCATTTCTTATAGTGATAAGCATTCAGTGAGTGATGTGACAAGTGAATTGGGTGAAAATTGCCAAATCAACTAATTTTCAGCATCAAAATCAGCATCAGTACCACCGTCATCTAACAGTTTCTGAGCCCTTTGGTGCCAGGCCACACATAGAACTTCTGTTAGCCACTGGTCAGTACATTGTTGATGGCCTTTCCACTTATCCAGTTAAAATCTCTGTTCTTCAAGAGAGCACATTTTTATAATAATTCAAATTTTTCTACCACCCAGTGCATAGGTGGTACTGAATAAAATAAATGGTTGTTCAATGAGTAAATGATAACAATGATAACTCTGATAACTAAAAATTAGTAACAATGACAGCTACCATTTTGGAACACTTGCTTTCTGTATGCCATCACAATACATCCTTTAAAATAACCCTTTGTTTTCTTATATTATTCCACATATGTATGTATGTATGTATTCTAATTTTACACATACAAGCACTGAGTTTCAAAGAAAGTTAAGTGATTTCACCAAAATCGCACAGTTGACAGATTAAGACCTAACATTGAATTTCTAAATTTATCTGATTTCAAAGTCTATATCATTGATAAAAATAGGGAGACAGTGATTTTTGGGTGACAGCCCAAAGATGCATCAAGCTGCTTCTTTGCTCAATATACTTAAAAATAGAACAGAATGTCTCCCTTTGTGTTGGTCTGTGTGGAGACCCTGTGTGGCTGGTGAGCCAAGCTGCTTGTCATGTCTGTGGATAGCTAAGATTCTGTCACTGGCCTGGAGCATTACATGGGTCTTAAGAGAATGCTCAGATGGGGGACTTAGGTGGAGGAAACCCCAAAAGCTGTGGTTGGCTATACTTTCCCAGGCTTCTCAGCTGGGTCTCAGAGAGTTCACATAAGGACTTGGCTGGTTAGAATTGGCAAATTGAACATTCCTCACCCAGTACACTTGTCAGCTTACAGGCCCATTCTAAGTCATGCAGAATGAAATAAACAGTTCTTTTTAAAACATGTCCATCTCTATAGACCTCTTATCTAACGATCAGCCATGGCCATTCCGTACTGGGTGTATGCCACACATTTTGTAGATGATGGTTATGGGATAACTGAAAGGTGGGGGCAGGTACTGTGGTAATGATTACCTCCTAGGGAGGCTGATTTCAGAACTTTCCCCATGACCTTATGTCCCCATGTTTCATGTTGTGGAATCTGTGTGGGTACTTCTCATTTATAGCTTTAGGAGTTTTGGCTCAGAAGCCAGTCAGTTATCTATATATAGATGCTTAATCTATGCTACTGACACTCTTTTTGTTTCCCTATATAACTTTATACACTGATAGAATTGTTTGCAATGCTCTAAAACACAGGTTCATTTAATTTAATCTCTCATTAGATCATTTTAAACCAATGATTCTAAACCCAAGGAAATTTTTACATCCCCAGGAGATATTGGCAGTGTCTGGAAGTATGTTTGATTGCTAAGAGTAGGTGGCAAGGTGATACCACTGGTATTTAGTAGGTAGAGCCTGGGAATGACACTAAGTACCCTACAAGGTTCAGAGCAGAGCAGCCCATTGAAAAAAAGAGTTGTTTGATTACAAATGACTGATGCTAAGCTTGAGAAGCCCTGGTTGTTTTTATTATTATTGTAATTGTTGTTGTTGTTATCACTGAAGTTCCCCTTTATGGAGTACAAAAATGATTTGGTTAGATTGCTGAGATGAAACATAGTGCAATGTTGGATATAAGAAGAATGAGACTCCAGATAAAATTATAAAGATGTCTGATCTCAAGACTCACTTGTCAGGTATTCTCTTAGGGACAGAGGATGAGAGTGGTTGCTTTAACAAAGGCTCATAGCAGTCCTCTCTGATGTCACAGGATCCCTTCTCTGTCGAGGCAAGGGATAAGGTCATATGTGGCAACCCAATCACCACCAGCAATAGCGTCATGAACCCTGTCACCACAGTGTGCTGACTCCCTCACACTTTGCCCTCTGTTGTTAAACTCACACACATTTCTCCCATGATGGGAAACAAAGTGAGCACTGGTGGAATTCTAAAATTGAGGAGTTGTTTCATATTCAGGGACAGAGTTCTCTGTGCCTGACTGTAGCCTTGTGTGTCCTCTGCCAAAGTAGCTTTTCACAAGAGCTGTTTCCCAGGGCCACCCACTCCCATGGACTTTCCTCCCGTTCTCCTCTTCTCCTGATCCTCAAAGCCCTGCCTCATCACATTTGAGAAGGCCTTGGCCTTGAGCAAGCCAAACAATCACGGCTCTGCCTGAGCTGGTCTGTCAATTATGAGCAGTATTAGGTACCTCTGCCTCACAAGATAAAATAAGCTATTGAGGAGTTAAACATTTTTCCCTGACTCAAGTTGCACATTGATGACATTACTGGAAACTAGCCATGGGTTTTTCGAAGCAGAGAGAGAGAGAGAGATTTAGGCTGACATGGTGGTCCTCAGGGCCATCATGTGATGTTGAGTGTTGGGAATGTGGAGTATCCACTTCCTTTCGATCTCTAGTATACCTGTAAATCTTGAGTTTAGTTTGTACTCAAAGTCACAAACAGAATATAAGGAATGACAATGGAAGAATGGAGTTGATAGGCTGGAGAGATGGCTCAGTGGATAGTGTGCTTGCTGCTGAAGCATGAGAACCTGAATTTGGACCCACAACACCCATGTCAGAAGGCAAGCATGGTAGTACATAACAGGGTTTGGGAGGCAGAGACAGGAAGATTCTAGGAGCCTGCTGGCTAGTCAGGGTAATCAACAGCTCAGCTCCAGGTTTGGTGGGAGAGCTTGTGCCAAACTAAGATGGACATTGATTAGGGTAACACCTATTATCAACTTCTAGCCTCCATATGAGTGTGCATGGCTACCTGCACACACACACACACACACACACACACACACACACACACACACACACACACAAATACCCTATACAAACATATATTTATATACACAAAATAGTGCAGTTCAACCTACAGTTTATGGAAGAATAAATTCTAAGTGTTACAAAAGCTATGCCAACATACAGTTGGTTGAGTCATTCACTGGACACAAATTAACTTGTGCTGGCAACACCCATATTGGAGACTAGGAATATAATGCAGAAGCCACGTTGAGGAACAGGGCACAGAGCCTATAAGGACAGACTCCAGTGCCTGATCCATGTGTAAGGAAAACAGGATGCTGTCTCTGAACAAAATGGTAGCAAGATTTATGTTTTAGAATATTGCAACATGACTTCCTTCCCTGGTAGCCTTTGTGCATTGTTTGGTAGAGAATAAAGGAGTGCTTTTACAACCCAGCTTTGTATAAAATGGGTGGTATGGGGTTCATTTAAATAGCACCCTGGCCCTTCTGGGTCACTGTGAGCCACCTTGTCTTTTCATTAACACCTGGCTTAATGCCTCCATGATACGAGTGAATGAACATCTTTCATTAGTTCATCTGGTACTTCTGAATGCAGCTGCGTAGGGTTCCTTAGAACACTGGTATGTGGGAATGTAGTGTCTGGAGGTCATTTCTTACAATGTACTCAGAAGCCAGCCTGTGCTAATGGAAGGATACTCAGCAGCTGTAGCCAGCTCACAGGTTTGGTAATGACAGCAACATACGGTGAGACTTCAGGTTCTGAACTAATGTAGACAAAGTGTGAGTGGTGGCTCCACGTTGTCTATGTGGAAGGTGTTCTCCTGTGTGCTGCGAAAGAGTAGTGTGTGATAGAAGCTCTCAAGACACGTGATCATTCTGATCGGCTTTGATATTTTTTCTCGTGGTTTTCTATTTACATTCTAACATTTTCAATAATAGATATATATTATGTACATATTTTAAAAAGTGAAAATAACCAATATTGGCAAATTCAGCAAACCCTTAGCATTATGAAAGGATCTTCTGGTTGTCTTTACTGAAGGTTTCCCAGCTTAAAAGTGAGGAGAAAGTCAGTACCTACAGAGCTGAAAAGCAAATCTGTCTTTATTTTCCAAGGAAATAATAAATCTAGTTTGAGTGGCCAAATGCAGAAATGCAAAATAATTAGCCAATAATAGAAGGCTATATATGTGTGTACAAATGTATGTATACTTTATGTATTAACAAATGAAAAATAATTCAGCACTATATAGCCTTATGTTTGGATATATGTACATAATAGGATTGTCTAGCACATATAGGCATATACATGTATAAATATACACATGTATACACTTATGAACAACCTCAGATACACACACGCACACACACACACACTTTTACATGTACATGCGACTAGCAACTGTTGCATGATTATGTGTGTAGGG